GAGATCATGACCTGAGCTGAAGGCAGAGGCTTTAACCCACTGAGCCACCCAGGCACCCCTGGGTGTACATTTCTTTTTAGCATAACTGGAAACATTTTTGGCTTCTTGACTTTGTGGATAAGGGTCCTTTTCCATCTATAGATAGTAATCTTCCTTTTTTTTTTCTTCAAATATTACCTCTTCTCTCTTCTTTCTTTATTCTCCCTCTGGAAGTATGATTAAATGTATGGTAGACCTTGTTGGTCTATCTTCCATGTCATTTTAACTTCTACTTTTGTATTTTCTATATCTTTGTCTGTCTGGTCTTTCAACTAATTTCTTCTGCTCTATCTTCCATATCCCTAATCATCCTTTCAGCTGTATTTAACCAGCTGTTAAACCTATTGAGAAGTGCCTGGGTGGCTCAGATGGTTAAGGGTCCTGGGATCTAGCTCTGCCTCGGGCTCCCTGTTTAGCAGGGAGTCTGCTTCTCCCTCCACCTCTGCTCTTCCCCCAACTTGTGCACATGCTCTCTCTCTTCTCTCAAATAAATAAAAAAAAAATTTTTTTTTAAACCTATTGAGGGGCACCTGGGTGGCTCAGTGGGTTAAAGCCTCTGCCTTCGGCTCAGGTCATGATCCCAGGGTCCTGGGATCGAGCCCCACATCGAGCTCTCTGCTCGGCGGGGAGCCTGCTTCCCTCTCTCTCTCTCTGCCTGCCTCTCTGCCTATTTGTGATCTCTGTCTGTCAAATAAATAAATAAAATCTTTAAAAAAAAACTATTGAGTTTTACCTTTCAATTTTATATTTTTCTTTCCTATGAGTTGTTCGATTTTTTCCACATTTGTTGCTCTTTTGTCATATTTTCAAGGCTCTTTTATTTTTATATTACATTAAGCATACTTATTTGTTATACTAGATCTGATAATTTCAACATCTAAAGTTTTTTAGGTCTGAATCTGCTGTCTTGTTTCTGCTGGTTCTCACTCATCGTGCCCTGTTTACTTCTATATTTACTAAATTATTTTCTTTCATTTACTCCTTGGACATAACCTGTGGGAATTAGTTGAGGCCAGGGACGAAGGCAAATTTCTGAATTCCACTGAAAAGGATTTATACGTGCTTTTGTCAGGTACCTGGGGGCATCACAAGTCTGGGACCAATTTTGATCATATTATTGGCCACAGGTTTTTGTTTCTGTTTTCTTTTAGAGAAGCCAGTGCCTAATCATGTGAATTCAGGCTAAAAATCTATATGAGGGCAGGGTCGTGGTTACAATCCCAGAAACAGATTGCCCTACCTGCACCCTGATTCGATTAGCCTTGAGATCCAAGAAAAGCAGTTTTCTTACAGTCCTCTGGGGATAGAACAGTTTATTTCTAGGTCCCCTTTACACTGAGAATGTAGTCCTCTGGAGTCCCCATTTTGAGAGAGAGTCTCCTGTCAGGCTTCTCTCTCGAGTGGGCTTCAGGATTTATCTTCCATCCTGCCAGTCCTGAGAGATCACAAAAACCCATGCTCATATGCACTCAGTTCTGCATGTGTCCTGAGTCCAAGTCTGGCTTCAAGGCTCTGCCGGCCTCTCTAGGCCCCCGCTCTGGTGACTTAGCATTCCTTACCTTTTGTTCAGCCCACATATTATTATATTTATTATAATAGGTTTTGTATAAATAATACAGAGGAATGCAAGAAGAACTGCCTTTCTTGGAATCTAATGATAATCAGATTAGGGAAGGCACAGGTTCTCCCCAGAGAAGGTATGACCACGAGCCTACCTTCAGTCTAGCTTTTTAGCCTGAATTCACATGATCAGGTACTACCCCTCCCACAAGAACAAAAGAACCACCCAAGCCTGGGGCCGATAATGATTAGAATGGTCCCAGACTCAGAATGCATATACAATAATGACATCAGATAGATTATATATGAATTATTATTTCACATTTATTTGTAGAGAGAAGGGTTGGCATAAGAAAAAAGCATGCTGAGAGATGAGATGGGGGTTGTGAAAAGCTAAGTTAGTTTAAACTATGTCAGGTAGTTTTCCAGGAAGTCATGCACTTGGGTGTCAGCCTTGGTCAGAGAATCTTGTGGTCATTATCTGAGAGGAAACAGGAAACGTGAGAGGACCGTGCTGCAGTCACAGTGGTGCTTTTTCAGGATGTGGTCCCCAAACTCCTACGGGGAATTTGGGTGTCTCCACAATTACTGAGGGTAGATGGGATGGGAAGATGCCATGTCAAGGCCTCTGAAGCTGTTTCTAGAACTGCCGGGAGGCTGCTCCTCCATGTATGGGACAGTGGGTGATCAGGGGACGTTTGGGATAATGACCTGAACGTGAGGCCTACAGAACAAGCCAGACTGTGGCCATATGGCCTCCAAGAGTAGGGGCAGGGTAAGAGAGGGACTGGCTGGGATGGCTGAAGCCGACCTCCACTCATGGGCTCTGCCCACACCCACGCCTGCGGCTGGCCTGCTACTTCTCAGGGCTGCGCTAGCAACCATGGGATTGAGTTTGGTCTCTCTGGGGGCTGTTTGACAATTCAGTGAGGCCTTTTAGTGTATCTAATATACTTTTAAAGAGGAAAGGCAGTTATCTTATGATTTCTCTGATATGAGGAATCTGAGAGATAGGGCGGGGGGCTTGAGGGGTAGGGAAGGAAAAAATGAAACAAGATGGGATTGGGAGGGAAACAAACCAGAAGAAACTCTTAATCTCACAAAACAAACTGAGGGTTGCAGGGGGGTGGGGTAGGGATAGGGTTGCTGGGTGATGGACATTGGGGAGGGTATGTGCTATGGTGACTGCTGTGAAGTGTGTAAACCTGGCGATTCACAGACCTGCACCCCTGGGGCTAATAATACATTATATGTTAATAAAAAATAATTTTTAGAAAAAGAGGAAAGGAACCACACAGTGTTTGTTTTATATGCTTCTGTCGCTTAGCAAAATATCATGAGCATCTTTCCACATGTTGTAAGCGTCCCCTCCTACTAGACACGATCTCTCCATTCATTCATTCCCTACCTCCTTTGCTCCCTCTGCTCTCTTCAGTCAGCACCTTCCCTTCATCATGAACATGTTTGATTCTCCACCATTCCTAGAACAACAACCAACCCAAACTCTCTCTGAAGTTGAGCCGCCCTCGATCCACTATCCCTCTCTCAGTTGCCCCGCAAAGGATTCCTTAAAACATCCACGTTCACCGAATTCGCTCCTCATGTCTTATTGGCTCTGCCCATCTCCACTACGCTGACACAGCCCTCAAGAGCCTCCTTGCTTTTCCAATCGTCAAACCCAATGACCACTTCAGGCCCCCAGCTTGCATGCCATTTGACAACAGGGAGCCCTTCTGCAATTCCCGTCACCTTCTGCGGTGCCTTCCTACACCACAAAGGGCTGGGAAACAAAAAGCTGCCTTTTGTAGATCCCCTGGAAGTTGGGTTATACAAATTAGGTTTTAAGAATTGAGAAAGCAGGGGTGCCTGGGTGGTTCCGTTGGTTAAGCAACTGCCTTTGGCTCGAGTGATCATCCTGGGTTCTTGGGATCAAGTCCCCCTGCCGTCTCCCTGTCATGTCGTCCCCCTGTCATGTCGGGCTCCCCGCTCAGCGGGGAGCCTGCTTCTCCCTCTCCCTCGCTCGCTTGCTCACTCTCTAATAGATAAATAAAATCTTAAAAGAAAAAAAAAGAACCAGGAAAGCAGATGTGAGACAAGCATATTTCTGCAGTTGGCCTTGTCTTCTCTGGACAAACAAGGTTATGGGGATATGGAGTTTTTCCTGCAGCAGCTTTCCAGTGTCTGTCCCCAGCTTTGTAGGGACAGAGACACAGCTGCAGTTAGGGTGGTGTCCTGATTCTCAGCAACTAAATATGACTGAGTTCCACGGGAGCCTTTACACCTGCCCGACTGTCACAGGCATGGTGGTCCCTCTCATGAGTTACTTCTGGGGGTTCAAGTCTCCCCTGGAGGCCCAAATGACAACTCCTTCTCCCAGTGCCCCACAATTTTTAGTTCCTGTATATAAATTCCTTTTCTGCTGGCTTCTATTTCTCATACTGAAATCTGGTCATTTGGTACCAGAGGTGGCTGTAGGCAGCAAGACCTCAAGGATGAGGACATTCCTACGCTAAGAGAAAGTAACTTGGCACTGGCAGCAGGGGACACCTGGGCTCTGCGTAGATGCTCTGGGCCATGGCTCTGAGCAGTGCAGCCTCCCCGCACCCCTCCTGTGCTTGTCCCCAAAGCCTTCCAGAGCTTCTCAGTCCCCGAGCTCTACCACACCAGCGAAACCATCCTGCACTCACCTGCTTTTCCATCTTGACCCTGCGTCTCATTCTGATTTCATCCAGTGCCTCCACGTTGAAGGGCCCCTTGTCACCCTTCTTCAGGACCTTCTGGGCCCCAGGCCCCAGCCGACAATTGGGTCCACCCTGTGGGGGAAAGAGAACTATGAAAGGGCCCAGACCATGCTCCCCTGCTTCCCACAAGAACAGAAAGACATACATACATGCATGGGGAAAAAAAGAAAATGAAGAAAATAACTAGCAGTCTACCTTCCACATCTAAAACTTTTTGGCAAAACAAAGATATTTTCTGGCAAATCAAAACTGAAAGATCTCCGCAAGCAGACCCTCAGAACATTCCAAAGGACATATAATATATATATTAGGCAGAAGGAAAGATGATGCGGGAGAGAAGGTCTGAGATGGAAGCAGGAATAAGGAGCAGAAAAGTTGGTCATTAGAAGGGAGACATCTGGGACGTAGAAGCCAAATAAAAGCTTTCCTTCCTCCTTTTGTTTTCTTCTGGCAAGTAAGGTCAAGGCGATGGATAAGTTTTATTCCTTTCTTTCTCTCTCTCTCTCTCTTTTTTAAGATCTTATTTATTTACCTGACAGAGAGAGAGAGAGGGAGCACAAGCAGTGGATAGTGGCAGGCAGAGGGAGAGGGAGAAGCAGACTCCCTGCCCAGCAGGAAGCCTGACTCAGGGCTCCATCCCAGCACCTCAGGATCATGATCTGAGCTGAAGGCAGACCCTTGACCGAGCACGCCACCCCGGCGCCCTGATGGGTAAGTTTTCTGATGCAGTGTACCTTGTTAATTCACCGGCTGTGTGGGTGCTGGCAGGCAGCTGGGGTGGTGTGGCCGCGGCTGCCCAACCCTTGCGTCGCAAACACAGCACTGTGCTCTGGAAGTCAGCAGTTCCGGTGCTGGCCTCCTGGGTCGCCTTCTCCTGACAGAGCCACAGAGGCAGCAGCTCCTATGGAGGGTCAGTGTTGCAGTGTTCTAGAAGTCAAGACCTTGACCATCCAGAAGTTCCCAAGGTTCATAAGCAGCTACTTCCCTATATTAAATCCTGTGGTGATTATAGTTCTTGTTTGGAGACAATATCAACAACAAAAACTTTGATTCACACAGGCTTTAACAATTCATTACATCATATGACAAGAACACCAGAGCTTGGTGCCAGTGGGGCTCCTTTGCTACTTTCCAGTGACCCTTATGATTTCTGCCTCTTTGTGTGGACATGGTCCTCAGGCTGGTAGCAAGACAGTTTGTCTCAGCCATTCCATCCAGACACGACAACACTGAGAGAAGAGTCTATAGATTCCTCGTGTATCACTTTTATTGTTGCTTCTTTTGCAACAGTTTTATTCAGATATAATGAACATACTATTCACTCACTTAAAGTGTTCAATTCAGGGGTGCCTGGGTGGCTGGTCCATTAAGCATCTGACTCTTGATTTTGGCTCAGGTCTTGATCTTAGGGTTGTGGGAGTGAGTCCCACATGGGGCTCTGTGCTCAGCACAGAATCTCCTTGTCCCTCTCCTCTCTCTTCCTCGAATAAATAAATAAAATCTTTTTTTTTTAAAGTGTTCAACTCAATAGCTTTAGTATCTTCACATATTTGTGTGACCATTGCCTCTGGTCAATTTTAATCTTTTTTTTTTTTTAAAGATTTTTATCTATTTATTTGACAGAGAGGGAGCTCACAAGTAGGCAGAGAGGCAAGCAGAGAGAGAGGGGGAAGCAGGCTCTCTGCTGAGCAGAAAGCCCGATGCGGGGCTTGATCCCAGGACCCTGACATCATGACCTGAGCCGAAGGCAGAGGCTCAACCCACTGAGCCACCCAGGCACCCCACCTCTGGTCAGTTTTAGAACATTCTGATCACCTCAAGAAGAATAATGCATACCACTGATTTAATCATCTCCCATCCCCCCACTCCCCCCCAACTCAGCCCTAAGCAAGTGCTACCTACTTTCTCTCCCTATTTCCCTATCTCCCAGATTTCCCTATTCTGGACTTTCATATGACTAGAATCATACAGTATGTGGTCTTTTGTGGTTTGCTTCTCTCACTTAAAATGATGTTTTCAGAGTTCATTCACAGTATAGCCTGTGTCAGTACTTACCTGCTTTTATGGCCAAATACAATTCCACTGCTTGTATGTAGCATACTTTGTGTATCCATTCATCTGTCAATGAACATTTGAGTTGTTTCCACCTTTTGGCTATTACAAATAATGCCACTATAAATATCTGTGTGTAAGTTTCTGTGGGACCTAATTTTTTTCATTTTCCCAGGTATTATACCTAGAAGTAGAACAGCTGGGTCATATGGTAACCCTATGTTTAATTGTTTGAGGAACTGCAAGATTGTTTTCCAAGTGGCTGTTCCTTTTTACGGTCCCATCAGCAATGCATAAGGGTTCTAAATTCTCCAAATCCTGGCCAACATGTGATGTTATCTGACTTTTTGATTCAGTCATCCTAGTTGAGTGTGAAATGATATCTCCTTGTGGTTGTCGTCTTCATGGGCATCTTTTTTTTTTTTTTTTAAATTAAAGAAATCTTCCAGAAGTCCCTCAACAGACTTTCCATCAGGTCCCATTGGCCAGAAAGGGATCAAATACCCTTCATAAACCTTCACTGGCAAGGGCAATGGGATAACCAGGGGCAACCGTGCTGCTGGTTTCAAGCTGGGGCTGTGGGCTACCTTCTCTGAGACATACAGAATCCAGAATGTGCTGACCCTGACAACATCAGGTTCTGTTAGGAAGGAGGAAGAAGACAGAGGATCAGTCAGCTGTGTGGCTCCTACATATGGCTTCCTCGGCACCAAGCTTTAGTGGCTTTCCTCCTTCTTCTATAACCATTTGTTTTTATGCTGCTCTTCCTCTGTCTACCCCTGAAATGCCACGGCTCCTGGTGTTCAACTTCCACCCTTCTCAGCCTCTACACTCTTTTTGATCATCTCATTTACTCTCCTAGTTTCAATTTCCATTTGATGACTTCTGAAATTGCTTCTTCTCTGAGCTTCAGATTTACGGATAATAAATAATAACAATGATAAGAGTTGCCATTTTTCAATATGTACCATGTCCCAGACACCGCACATTGTCTCCTTTTATTCTCATTTTATCCCAACCCTAAAATTCTATTACTGTTGCTATCTTATGGATGAATTAACAGGTTTAAAGAAATCAAGTTTCTTGCCCAACGAGACAGAACTAGTAGGTTGATGAAGGTAGGCGCTGGACCCAGTCTGTTTGACCCTGGAGCATGGAGCCTGGAGCCACTGCCAGTTAGGCTTCTGCCCCCACATCAAACACAGGGAAGCCAACCAGAACTCATCACTTTCCCGAAAACCAGCTCTGCCCCCATCCCCTACAGCAGGAAGGGAATGACTGTTTGCCCAGTTATTCAGTCCAGAAATCCAGGGGTCATCTTCCTTCTTCACCCCTGGACTAAGTGATACTAATTTTCTTTCCTCCCTTCTTTCCTGCCTCCCTCCCTCCCTTCCTTCTTCCCTATCATCTCTACACCCAAAGTGGGGCTCGAACTCACTGAACTCACAACCCCACAATCAAGAGTGGCATGCTTTAACAACTGGTAACGGCTTACAAGGCCCACCAGTCCCCACCAGCCCCACTCTCACCCCTGTGGGTGCAGAATTTAGCGCTCCAGAAACATCACGTCCTTCTGTAGTTACCCCTTCTGTCCTGCCTTCTCACCCCAGTGCCTCTGCTCACATTGCTTCCTTGGCCAGATATGCTTATAATATAAAGGTTAAAACCCTCTTTGGAGTCCGAGGCCCAGTTTCAAATCCTTGCTGTCACTTGTTCATGACAAAAATGAAGTTAACAATAGTACCTACCTCAGAGCTGTTGTGAAGACAACATGAAAAAACAAACATAGGGATGCCTGGGTGGCTCAGTCAGTTAAGCGTCTGCCTTCAGCTCAGGTCATGATCCTGGGATCCGGTCCCACAAGGGGCTCTCTGCTCAGCGAGGTGTCTGCTTCTCCTTCTCCCTCTGCTGCTCCCCCTGCTTGTGCTTGCTCTGATAAATAAAATCATAAAAAAACAAAACATAACAGTGGTTTCTTTCATTATTCATTTTGCTTCAACTGCTGAGATCCCCCAGAAGCCCTCCCCAATCTCATTTCCACAGAGTCTTGTGCTTCACGGTGCAGACCCTTGGCGCTGTCTGATTGCTTCTCCGCTTCGTCTGGTTGAGATTCCTCCAGGTCTGGGATCTGCTGGTACCTATCTCAGCCCCTAGAAGCCACCCGGTGTGCTTACTGTGGGGCGAGGGTCAAGGACAGTCAGAGGTCCCCTGAGGAGCTGACAACGCAGCAGGACACTGAACTTAACAAGTGCGCGAAGTTCTCCAGAAAGACCAGGGTGCAGCTCCCCTGTGGCTCCCCAGGCGGAGGCGAGGCTGGCTGCAGGACTGGTCCCTCCGACCAGGTGTTCAAGGGGGAGGAGCCAAAACTACGGGGTGTGGCCACTACTCACCTAAACCCAATCAGGATACGAGGCTGCTCATGCCTGCCCAGGAGCACGCTAAACTACCGGCGTGGAGATCCAGTCCTGCGGCCACAGCTGTGTGGCCCTCTCCAGGACGGGGATGAAGGGAGGGTTGGGGGTGATAGGGTCAGGGTGACTGTCTCCAGGAGGGCAGTGGAACAGCAGGTTCTAGAATAAAGGGACAGCGCCCGGGGCCACGGAGCTCTAATTGCGGGGCCGGGGAGCGGGCGCTGATAACCACAGACCGGGGCATCCCAGCGTGTGTGCGGGGGGGGGGGGGGGTTGTGTGAAGGCGGGCATTAGGGAGAGACCATCTTCGTGGCAGGGGTACTCTGAAGCGGAAACCACTGCTCCGGGCGCGGGGATGGCCGGGAAGCTGCGGACGAGATCGCTTCAGTGGGGCGAGAGGACGGGAAGGGAGACCGCGCGGCTCGGGGTTGCTGCGGGTGTACAGAGACACTGGTCTTTCTCGCTGAGTCAGAGGGCGGGGCCGGCTCTCGGTGCCCCACCTCTCTCCCGCGCCCACTGCTTGGCCCTGGGGACACAGCTGTGAGCGAGCGTGGTCCACAACGGCAGCCATGGTGTGGTGGCTTCTTCCAAGGAATGTCCCTACCTTCAAACTCAGACTTTCTCAACAAAGCTCTGGGGCACCGCTTTACTGGAGGGGGGTGGGGGAATCCCACGATTCCGCCCCTTCTGGGGACCCAGCATTCGGAACAGGTTTTTAAAGACAGCAGGACAGGGAGTGTCGGAGGAAGAGGCCCCGGCCCAAAAGCCAAAGGCATCTTCAGATAAGACGTGCAAGGGCCGTGTCCCTCAAGGCCAAGATCTTGTCCAAACTCTGAAGCCCATCGCACGGGCATAGGGCAAGAGCGCTGTCCTGAGTCCGTTTGCCTGTTCGGCGTCGATTTCATCCTATATCCACCCTGATGGCCCCAGTAAGCCCTGCAGGGCACCCCACCCTGGAAGCCTAGGGAGGCCTGACTCTGGCTTCCTCCTTCCCCAGGCTGGCCAAACGAGTCCCTGTTTATCCTTTGATTAAGAGAGAATGCAACGCAGGGCACGCGACACCCCTGCGGGAGAGTGGAAGGCACTAAGGGATCTCCACTGACTGGCATGTATTCATGAACAACCTATGACCGCAGGGCTCCCATCTGCAAAATGGGAACTCTGTATGGGGAATTTCTGGGTGTTAATAACTGTGACACTGGTTCCCGGTTTTATGAGGCCTAAGTGTCTGAGGGCGAAGAATGACGTTCAAAAGTAACGGTGAAGGATGTCCCCCTTAAGGAAAACTGAAGCCATCTTTGCCATAGAGTATGTTCGCCATCCCCCTCCCCCGCGAAGGTCCAGACCGCCACCAACCAGAGCAGTAGGTGCTCACTCGCAGGGCTACCTGAGCCTCCTGGACTACAAGCTTTTGCCCCTGTCCCTGCGCGCATG